AAGATGTCTGACTGAGGGGAGGGGGGTTAAGTGTTTATGGGTGTAACTATAGTGCGCAGCGTTATCTGAGGGCCGTAAGCCCGAGCCAGGGGTCGGTATGTGAGGGGGATGTCCCCCCCTCCCAAAACAAGATTTTTTAAATAATTGGGACTTCTAGATGGCCGGAAATGGCTGGGATGGGAAAACTAGGCCTATTTTTTGTTTTCTTTTGGTCCAACTGCCCGAAGAGCTTTGGCCGATGGGGAGGGCTTAATCCCCCTGCCGCCCCCCTCCCCCGCTAGCGCCGCCACTGAATCCAAGTAATACTTTATAAATAGCAAAAACTGTGAATATAAAATGTATTGTTATTCATAATCAGCCACTGCACTCCACTTAGTTTCCATTAGATACTCTAGTATATAATACTTAAAAAATGAAATGAATATTTTTATAATTAGCAAGAACTCTAAATATAAATGCATTGTTATTCATATAATCTGCTATTGCATTCTATCAGATTTATCAACAGTAGTATTTAATACTTTAAATAAATAGCAACAATCGATTATATAAGACTCAAATTATCAAAAATGCCTGAGCTCCGTCCCATCTCAATCCAAACAGGGTTGATCCCCCTAGACGCCCAAATCCCCGGAGGCATTTTGGTCTACTCTCTACAAGCTATTCTCTAATCACAGCATCCACAGAAGTTCGATTTAGAAATAACAAGTACATTAAATCAAAATGACTGAAGCATTTTTCATTTGATATTAAGGTAAAAAAAAATAAATTTTTGTGTTGGCCACGTTTTGGGAAAATCCAAAAAATGGGAAGGAAAACTTCCAGGATTTTCCCTGACCTTCACACATATGGGGTGGTCCTTGCAGTGGTGAATCAAGAAATTCGAAATGGAGAGTGCCCAGAGAGGGACCTTGACAGAGCGACACCTCAGCAAGAAAAATAAAGATTACGTCGCCTATAGATGGATGGAAATGGCACATGCTCTTAGGATTTGAATATAATTTTCAGTTTTTTCTCCATTCTTTAATAATTTTGAAATATATACGGGGGCCCGGGCCGACTGGCTTCCCTTGAATCCGCCACTGTATGGGGAATCCCTGGGGTCGGATGCAGAATTTGGCGGTAGGGGGTGCATGAGAATCCACACGTTGTTGCACTGGCGAATCCAGAAATTTTGACGGGTTGGCACATTGCTAATATGTCAAGTCCTCGCCCACCTCAAACCCACCATGGTTGGGGCGGAGGTGAGCAAATTTTAAGAATAGACACCTCTGCGCTCAAAAATGGCACTCTCAGACA